GTTATTTGGCCAACAAGAGTCACTGAAAATTCCTGCACATTAATTGATCAAATTTTCGTGAGCAGCTGTAAATACAATGTCACGTGTTGTGTCACTGATAACGAAATTTCAGATCATCGTTCAGTTTTTTGTGATTTTAATCTCTTTAAAGTTTTAGAAAATGATTCAACAATGAATGTAGCGAAAATAAATTTTAGCGAACATAATATAGCGCAATTTAAACAACCTCTTTACAATGAATACTGGATAATTTTAAATAATATTAGTACTCTTGATAATGCATTTTCGTACTTTTATGACATTTTTAAAAATCGTTTTAATTTTTGCTTTCCTGAAAAACAAAGTAACTTAAGTAACTTACAAATAAACAAAAAAAGTTCGATAGATGCCGAAATTGCTGCCTCAAGCCAATCACTAAAAGACCTTTTTATATTAAAAAATTGTAATCCTCATTTTATCGAAATATATAAAGAACGTAAGAAAAATCATTCCTGTTTATTATAATCAAAGAAAAAAGAACACTATCAAAAGCGTATTCTAAGATCAGACAATACTATTAGGACTTGTTGGAATGTTGTACCAGAAATTACGAACAGACAAAGTTCTGTCCCAACTATTGTCATAGAAAAGGACGCGATGTTATTGGATGATCCACTGAAGGTAGCTGCAGAGTTTAATAGTTTTTTTTAAATATGCTCCTGGTCATTTGGTCGACAAAATAATAACAAAGTCTACTAGTAACATCGAAGGAATCACATCAAATAAAGATTCTTTCTTCCTCACTCCATTTTCTCATACAGAATTATTAAATTTATTACTTAGGAAAATTAAAAACAAAAGATATTCTGGAACCGATGACGTACCATGTTTTGTACTAAAACAAGTATTAGATGTTCTCTCTGAACCTTTAACATATGTGGCAAACTTATCATTTAAAACTGGAGAAAGTTTTATCATTGCACAAGAAAAATGATCGTAGACAAATAGAAAACTATAGACCTGTTGCTGTTCCCTGTGGTCTGTCTAAAATCTTTGAATATGCCTTTCTTGATCGTGTTCTGTCGTTTTTGAAAAGGTACATTATAACAGAAAATCAACATGGAGGAATCTGAATGCCCAGCTGCCATCTTTTCTGATCTCAGTAAAGCATTCGATTGTGTAAACCATGATTTGCTATTAAATATATTGGATAAATATGGAATCAGAGGCACCGTTTTAAAATGGATCTCAAACTTTTTACGTGCTAGGAAGCAATATATTTCTTTAAAAGTACAAAACGACACTAAAATCAGTACTATTAGTTCTGATTCACTAGATATTAATATGGAAGTTCCTCAAGGTTCAATTTTGGGACCCATACAAACAATGTTGACTCATTAATAGGTGATAAGCTATGCAGATGATTTCTCGGCTATAATTTCAGGTAAAAATTCGGATTTACTAAACAGAGAGAGCTCCAACATCGCTCAAAAAATGTCAAGTCACTTTAATAGTCTTGATTTATTTTTTAATGCTAATAAGACTGAGGTACTTAAGATTTCATAACAGGCAACATAACGTTGAGCCCCTAGAGATTAGTTTTGAAAATGTCCTTCTTAATAATGGGAATGATAGCATTCGCTTTCTAGGAATCCAAATAGATCAACACCTTGATTAGAAAGACCATTGTAGAGGACTGGTCAAAAACATTAACTCGCTAAAGTTTCTTTTCATGAATTTACTGTCTATACTTGAAGTTCGTCAATTAGTTATGGTGTATTTTGCACAAGTAGACTCACGTCTAAGATACGGTGTATGTTTATGGGGAAATTCAACCTTCTCTAAAAATGGATTTCTTGCTCAAAAAAGGGTCCTGAGAAGCATAGCTAAGATCTCACAAAGATTCTCTTGTCGACCATACTTCAAGGAATATGGCATATTACCCTTTTGTTGTATTTTAATTTTTAAAATGTCCCTATACACTTACAAACACAAAGAAATGTTTGTAACTAATAGAAATGTACACAGGTATGAAACCAGACAGGCTGACGAACTACATATACCTTATGCACGACTCAAGGTAACATATAATGCGCCAAATTATTTGGGGCCCAAATTGTTTAATAGACTTCCTCTTGTAATAAAGGAAAGTAATTCATTTTTTATTTTTAAAAGAAAATTGAAAATTTTTTTACTAGAATATTGTTTTTTGTTTTTATGAACTCGCCGAATTTTACGAATTTGATGTATAAGTCCTACCCATATTTTATTCTATTTTCTAGTTTTATGCTTTTATCATATTTTTATTTTATTTACTTGTATTTCGACGAATCCCATACAATTCTATTGTCTTATGGAATATAAAATTTATTTATTTATATTTAAGAAAAATTGGATAACAAAGTTGTTTTTTTTTACAGTAACTAACCTTTCCCTCTCCTGTTACCTCACTTCTTTGCTTTGTTATTCAAATAAAACAAAAAAACTATTTTTACAATTTTTCTTGCATTAGCAAACTTCATATATTTATTATATACCTACCCATATTTCTTTAGAGAAAGACAGTTATTTCATAAGTAAATTCTTTTAGGAGTTCTATATAAGATCCATACATCATTTAGACATTATTTTCGGGTAATAATTTTACGTTTTTTATATATTATTTCTAATAATGTCGTTTAGAATGAAAAAGTAAAAAATTAAAACGCAATATATCAAAAGAGACAGGATACTAAATGACAGTGACCGATGATAAAGATAGGTTTTCCGACTACAAGAGAGCACATAAGTCTCCAGAGGAAGAATAAAAAATATATAGTGTAAAATAATACCTACGTTACTAAAAACAAAAATAAAGAAAATAGAAATTACCGATGAAAGTGTGAGTGTTTCAAAGATTTTTTTTGTAAATTAAAAGATATAATTAATTGATGTATAAAAATATAATAACTAATCTCAATTAATTTCAAAAGTTAAAGTGTAAATGATTAATATTTACCAAATAAACATTTTAATCACTTAATTACCTTCCAGGTAAATAAATCGGATGCGACGAGGAATAAATCCGTCTTGACACGTCGAGCAGTAACACTTTGCATAAAACAGTGTAACTTTAGTCGATTTCTTAGATTTGTTTTAGCTCTAAAATGAGTTCGCACTCCTCCAAATTGATTTACAATCACGAAATCAATATTTACTCACTAACTTCTTCATTTATTTCGACGTATCTTTCTATTGGTCTACAGATTGCTAGTTTCGTCTTTTTTACTTATTGCATATCTTCTCTTTCCTTTGCTCTTTTCGATTCGAATTTTGATTATGGCAATTTATACTGAATTGTATTAGTGCAGTTTTGGATTAATAATATTCTGTATTTTAATCAGACAACTAAACTTCAATGTAGTTCAAAACTTAAATATTAACAAAAGATATCCAGTAGGACTAGTAGTTCATAAAATTGTTATCTAAATTATTAAATTTTTTCCTTTTATTTAGCCGTTACCTTAAGAACTGTATGCAGTCGTTAGACAAGTCGCCACTCCTGTAGATTGAAGAAATCGCTTAATTATTAAAAGCTGAGCTTCTGTCTGAATGTTTAGGATGGGCCGAAAAAATGAAAGTAAAAATTTGCTATAACATTTAAAAGCTGCGTTTCATTATAAAAACTTCTTCTAATTTTTTTCACAAAATAGCTAAAAATAAAATTAAAATTAAATACAAAATTTTAATTAGCTATACTAATTAAAAGCTGTGTTTAAGCATATAAACTGGTTGTTATTTTTTTTTTAATTTTAGAAATACGTTTTAATCCGTCTAACACCACCTTAAAAAATTTATACAGACAAAGGGGTCTATTCTGTAATAATTCCATTATATTTAACGGCCTTTAAAAATATTGGCGGCCTTTAAAATATTTTCGTATTCGTTAATTTACTTCTGTCATTACTTAAACAGATTTCTTTAAGATAGTTCTTTAATGTATTTTAAAGATCCGTTTAAATAATGACAGAAGTAAACAAGAAAATATTTTTAAAGGCTGTTAAATATAAAGGAATTGTTACAGAATAGACCCCAAAGCAATTTAGTTTCATCAAACCAAAATTAAAATTCCCATTTTTAGTAGAATTGTAACCCAACTATTTTCCACTATAAAAGCGCCCTTTAATTTACACCCATTTTAACATCCCAATCCAACCCTTACATAAAAATAGTACCTACTTTTTAAACATTACATTTTCTCAACGTCAAATCACCTAAAACTGTAATGTTTAAATATGTAGAAATAAAACAAGACCTGTTAATTATTAGAATTCGAAATTTGCAGTTGTCTATGCAAGATTTAACACGTTTTCGGGCTTGTTTATAAATACGCTATTTCTTAGATTCGGGCGGTATTATGTGCCTAATTGTGTTTGATTAAGAAGTGAAGCGTTGTAATAAATAATAAACAAAAATCATTATTTTAAATTGTATGTAGTTTAACTAGTAGTAAAGTGGAATGTCCTATATTTGGGAACCCAACCAATCTCAACCCTCGTATAATGCCGACAATTGAACAACCTACAAGGTTATTTATTCATACGCTATGAACCAAAATATCCAAAAAATATAGTGGAAACGAACCAAGTTTTTTAGAAGTTTGTAATGAACTTGTGCCTAAAATTGAAAACATTTGGAAATAGGCATCAATTCCAACTGTTTCAAAAGACAGAATTGTGCAATTAATATGGAAATATTATGAAAAATTTAAGAATTTAATAAGATATCCGAGAAGCAAGCGAAACAACAGCTATGACGAAAAAAGTAAATATATTTAAAATTGAGTAACGTAAAAAATTACTGCGACTTCTCTGCATGCATGTGTGAAAAGACCCAAAAAGTACCTACTAAGAAACAAAATTTTCTTTCAGATCAAAGATCGGTCAGAAAAATGAGCAAAGGAAATGTAGATCGTGAAGAAACAAAGAAAATATTGTCGAATAAACAAAGGCAATATAGAGAAATCGAAAGACTAAAAAAATATGAATCAGCAATTTATTAAGACTGCATTATTGTCAGAGTCAGAATCTGACCACTCAAAATATCAATCCTCTTCAGATGACGACTTTATCAATCCAACCTTACCCTCTACCTCAAAAAACACTCAAATGAAAATAAAGTTGTCTACGTTAGGTCTTGTATGCGATAAATATAGTATATCTGACCACTCAGCTGCTGCGATTACTGGTGCAGTATTAATAGATGTAGGCATAATTACCACAGAAGATCCGTCGAAAATAGTTAACAGAAATAAAGTGAGAAGAGAGCGAAAAAATCTAGAAATACCAAAAGGAAGGAATTTGAAAGTGATAACAGAGGAATAAAAAGTCAGTGTTTTAATGGAAGAAAGGACAAAAATTTACTGCAAGAAAAGAAAAACGGTAGAATATACAAGAAAACTGTTATCGAAGAACACATATCGCTAATCAAAGAACCTGAATCTATTTATATTGGCCACGTAACTCCAACTACAGGGACGGAAAAGTCAATTGGAAAAACAATGTTGGACTTTTTTGCTAAAAACTATTTGGAACTAGATAATTTGGCGGCTGTGGGTTGCGATGGTACTGTTATTAACACCGGTAATAAAAAAGGTGTTATTAGGTATAATGAGAATTGAAACGTCCTTTACAATGGTATATTTGCCAACGAATTACCATTAAGACATTTATTCCAATATTTAGATGGCAGCACAGTGGGATCCCTTCAATGTTCTAGTGAAATCAGGAAATCTTTAGAAAAACGTGAACGTTTTAAAATTGTAAATTTTCCCCAATAAAATGTGAGTTGCCAAATATAACCATAATGTCTAGAGATTTTATACGATATTTGCATTGCAATATTCAGCAGCAATTAAATTTAGCACACCATAATCCTGGGACATTAGCGCGCTCTAGATGGCTCACAATGGCAAATCGTGTTCTTCGGCTCTATGCTGGAACGGAAAAGCCAACATCAAGCCTTAAGGAAATGGCCGAATACATAATTAAAGTATATGCCCCAATGTGGTTAAATATTAAACTAAAGTTCAGTTCCACTAGTGGTAGTTTGCATGTATTTAAAACGATTGAACTGTCACGGTATTTTGTTGTAGTGTAAACACTGGATTGACAGCTGACACGACAGATGGCACATGATATGACAGCTGGCATGACAGCTAACATGACAGCTATAATGACAGCTACCGTGACAGCTGATAGATGACATGACAGATGTTATGACAGATGGCAGATGACAGATGCCGCACATGCGCAGTTCAAAAGTGTTTCAAACGGGCCCCATATTTACTAAGAGATGATTAAAAAAGTTTTGTGGATACGGTAATCCAAAGAAACGCGTATTTCATACATCAAGAAAACATTCTTTTGTGTATGCTAACAGACACTCGTGAATGGGTTCGGGACTATCTCTACGAAGAATCTTAAAAGCTAGAGAAACCAGTCTATAAATCGTTAAAGTAAGAGACTTAGTGGCACCAAAAACTAATTTCAGTGCTACAGGCTACTTTGAGTTAATTGACTAGAATAAGTGCGATGTGACACTCCCCCCCTATTTTAAGGGATTTTACTGATGATAATCTTAGGGACCTATTAAACGAAACCGAAATTTCAAACTTTGATTTTTCGAAGTTCCCTTGCCATACTCAATCCGTGGAGAAATGCGTAAAATTAGTTACAGAGTCATCTTGTTTAGTAATTGGTGCAGAATCAAGAGACGGCTTTATTCGCTGAAGTAAATGTTTTTTATTATTATGTTTTTTGTACTTGATGTGTTAGCTTTTTATATTTGTTTAAAGGGGGCGGTAGAGGGCTGAAAATGTGGATTAAAAATTTTAAAAAATTACGAAAAGCAAGCACAGCAAAACTCATGTTTTGATAGGTATTGTAAACTTTATTTTTAAAAATATACCTATTTCGGCGCAGCCTAATTGTACATAACTCGATAACCCAAAAAGGAAGAAAAGAGTTGATTATTTTTTATAGTACTCGCTGTAGAAACATCCTTAAATGAAAAGGCAAAGGGAAACCGCGAATTCCATAGTTTTCATAGTAAAAATATTTATAAAAATTATGTCTTAGTATCTCAACATTAATACCGTAAAATTAAAAAGAGTTCATTCAAATTTAAACTTTTGCACATATTTCTATAAGTAGGTATTTAAACTTTTGCACATATTTTTATGTAATATAGGTAGGTATATATATTTCTTATAATTTTCATTGATTTTATTTCGGGTACTTGCAAATAATACAGGTTTATCTAGGATTAAGTGGAAGAATAATTTAATTGTATACTTAATAATAAAAATCAAGTTCGCCCTTTATTTCATTTACGCATTTTACGCCAAAGAATATGATTATTGTAATTTAATATTATTTTTCTGCGCCCTTGTCAGTAAATGTTAAAAATGGCTCCGTCAACATTCCTTGTAAATGACACTTAACAATAACATGCACGTAATGAGTCTCATAACATACACGTGCGTTTTGATAAGAAAACTTAAATTTCTTAGTTTAATAAAATTGCAATAAAATTTTTATCTACGTAAGACTTTATTTGGTTTATTTACATAAATTTAGTCAATTTAAAAACATAAGCATTAGCGAGATACATTTTAGATTAAAAAAGTGATTCCCCTAAATGTCAGCAACCCATTATACAATTTTAAAAAACTAAGTCGCGTTTATATTGTCATTTTTGTGACAAAATATTATTGTATTCGAACATTTTCTCAACTTTACCTACGAATATGTCTGTTAGTAGTGAAAGTGATGAAATTATGAGCACTCCACGGGAGATTTTAAGAAATGCTCAAGCTGCCACACATAATTTGTTACAGCTAAAATCCAAAGAAAGGTACGAAATTCATTATCGAAAATGTATGGATTGGCGACACAAGCTTATGCCCTTTATTTAATAGAAGAAAATAAGTGGGCGTAAAAAAAGTATAGTACGTTACACGAGTTATAAGCCCAATACGCACTCGTGAAATTTACGCACTCGCCGCTGCGCGGCTTCGTGCATAATGGGTTACTTACAACTCTTGTTACGTAATATACTATTACTGTGTATTTGCAAATAATAAAAACGATTTATTATTATTAATATATAACCCCACTACTGGGACGATATTTTTTATTCAAATAAATGCCCCTAAATCCGGCACTGTCAAACACATTATACCTTGGTTTTGAAATGAATAAGAAAAGCACATTTCTAGAATAGACTGAAAGTTTTCTTCGGCGAGTAGATTTATTACGTGAGCTGTTATTTCGTGAATTTACCTCCATAAAGAGGAATGCTAGAATTAAGAACGAGGAGACAAAAACTCGCAAACTGGCAAGTTTTCTCACTGCGAGGTGGAATGGTTGGTCGTTTCCAATTTTTAGGATATGTTCGAGGATCGAAAAAACGGAAAGGTTCTTTGGTTGAGATTGTTCCTTTCTTAACTGTTTATATAGAGTATAAAAATATATGTGTAAAAACCAGTGACAATGCCAACAATTCTATTATGTTACTATCTGAGAGCATTTTAATAGACTTTTTGCGCATATTTATAACTATTGATGAGACTTGGGTAACATTACATACTGGAGACTAAAGAGCAGTCAAAACAATTATCAGCGAAAGGTAAACCAGTCTCAAAGAATGCGAAAACGGTTCCATCGGCCAGAAAGGTTATAGTGTCGGTATTTTGGGACGCAATGGCCAATATTATGCGAACTTGTTTGATCAACAGTAACAGAACATTTTGGAGAATGGCTTGGATTATGGAAAAACAAAAAACAAAATACTGCCTAGCCTCTTCGTACTTCACTTTATTTCCAAACTTAAACAAATTCCACGCTGGCAAGAAATATGCGTCCCATTTGGAAGTTATTGCCAGCACAAACGAATCAGCCTATATGAGCGGCATTGTAACGTTACCTTTTAATGTTAAAGCTGTGTGTGCTTTTATTGACTTTCTCTTGTATATAGTTGAGATTATTAAGTACATGAGCTATTTATGATTGACAAATAAAGTAGGGTTTACGAGTTCTCGTACAACCTGTACCCCTTTCATGGTTTAATTATTCACCCTAACGGATACAAGAGGGTATATTATCGGTTGGTATCTCGCTATCCATATTTTTCCTCATGTTATTATTTTGATACACCTCCTACGCTGATTAGAAAGTGCTTGTATACTTACGAATAAAACTTGATTAGGAACCCTATATGTAGATTAATTAATTACTTACTTTGAATCTGGGCTCTGCTTACTATTTGCGTTCTCTTTTCAATATAAAAGGTGGAATTCGTTATTTACATATCGCCGTTCCGGTAAAACAATGACGCAAATGCAAAATTTTAAATTTTTCAGGATAGACGAAAAACGAATATTATTACTTCCAAATTTGGGCACATAAATCACAATGAACTTGTCCTAAATAGCAAATACAACATTTAACTATGGAGTAAGTAATGTCTCCCTTAAATTTACAAACACAACTGGTTCATATGTCATTGTTTGCCAAAAGTGGAGGGGAAAACAATAATATTTGAAAACTGACGCAACTACTATCTAGCAGCCGCGAGTGGATATAAAATTACGCCGTTGTTATACCGTATAGAGAGACTATTTTGGAAACTAATGACATGTTAAAATCAAAATGTCACAATTTTGCACTTGCGTCATTGTTTTACCGGAACAGCGATATGTAATTCTAGGGACACGTTTGACGTCTAAAAGTGAATGATGGTTGACAAGCTTGACACTATAGGTGTGTTCGTTTGGCTCTAGGTTGCGTAGGATTGTTTGTTGTAAGCATTGTAATTGGTCCGCCAGTCATATTGTTATGATTTAGTTAATTTTCATTGGTGTCTTAATACTAAAGATGATATAGATGAAGTAGAAGAACAATTATTACGGGACGCAATCATAACATCATATCACAATAATTATTCGTTAAAAAATAGGAAAACTTCGAAAGAAGTGGATCTTTTTAACACCCAACATTCCATCGCCTTTAAACCAGGAGGCCGTTGTATGAAAACCTCAAAAGAATTAGTTGTTTATTTCACAATTTGTTCTAACTGTATTAGTATTAACACTTTTGCTACGAACTAATGATTTAAGAGATAGATTTTTTATATTCTATTGTATTAAAATGATGTGTTTATACTGATTAACTGCCAGGGGTTTTAGTTCTGTCATAACCTATTGTTGTAGGATTTTTCGTTGACATTTGATTTTTCTACAGTACTGGAGTCATTTTGCGTGAGACCCGCTTTTCCTGTAGTATCAAAAAAGTTTGCAGTTCATGTTGTTTTATGTTTCACT